TGTTTTTTTAATTGTTTGAAAGAAGATATGAAATGTTATATGTTTAATTGATATTTTTCATTGGTCCCGAAGTTAACGGTAACAAAATAATGACTAATTTTCCGAAACTTTTTTTTGTCTCCAAATTAAAAAATATTACATCGAAAATTTTGTTTTCAAAAGTAATAACTAACTATAGAAAATTAAAGTGAAATATGAAAATTAGAGGTCAAATAAGTATGCTTTATTGTAATAAATTGAAAAAAGGGAGATAGGAAGCTAAATTTAGCATTGTGTAGGGTTGGAGTGAAAATGAGGTTTGGGGAGCTAAAAAGCCATATTTGACTATTTGGTGAGCCAAATTTAACTTTATGGGTTGAAGTTAGTCTTACAAGTTACATCAGTGGTCTAATAACTAGTTGGACCTCTTTGACAATTGACACTTAAAAATATTGATTAGGCTAAGAAGTGGGCAAATGATATACTATGTTTGTAATATTTTTTTTTTGACGTAAGGTTGGTCGTTTCATTAGTACGAAACACGGTGTACAGAGTTACAATAACAATAACGCTGAAAGGAAGGAAAAGCCAACTGAAAAAGAGAGCTAACCGTGGGCCAACAAAGGCCCGAAGCCAAAAAGCCCAAACCCGATCCAAACAAATGGACAAGCCCACCCTAGCAACCCTAACCCAGCGGCCCAATCATCACAAGAAGCAGGCTGCCAACAGCATTCCCCTTCACCGATCCAGCGCCGCCTTCAACCTTTGACACACCTGGTCCTTGGCCGGAGCAACGATGGAGGAAGCAGAGTCACTACTCCGAACAACGACGACTCCCTAGAAAGACGGTGCACCAGCCAGAAGAAGAAAACCGCATAGCCGCCGAGGAGAACCGTACCCAGAACTGGATCCGAGACCCACCTGCAAAAACAAGCAAACCCGAGAAGCAATCCCGACCACAGACAGAAAAATGACGACAGAATCGCCACCGATCAGAGCAAATTGGCAGAAAACCAACTTCGAAGATAATATCCCTGCTCATAAGCTCTCTGAAAAAACATCCAAGACTACAATGGTCCATGCATCTCCGATTCATCCCCATTTATGGATGGATCTTGTGGAGGTAGATGGTAGACCAGAGAGGAGCAAGCGAACCGACTAATCGGCCCCCTCAAACACCTACCAGGGGAACATCCATACAGATCTGGAAAACAGACAGATGGGGAGCAAAAGCATCTCACTGAGAGGCAAGAAAATCATCACCACTAGGGTGGAAGAGGAGCCGAATGGAAAGGAAATCCCCAGAAGAGGAAGGAAGGAGAATGGCAGAGCCAAGGGAAAAGAGACCGAAAACCAAAAATGCAGAAAGGGAAAAGGGAAAAGGAACCAAACGATAAACAAAGGAAAAAGCAAGGGCCGCCCCCGGTCGCCGGAATCGGCGCCGGTGACAGCCCCGTGAAGGCTTGAATGTCGAGACCCTAGAGGCTAGAGAGAAGGAAGAGAAAAATGAAAAAGGAGAGGGTTTTCATGGGCAAAAGCTATTGCATTACTATGTAATAGATGTAGAATGCTTCTGCTCATAATTATTTGGAGGCACCACCACCTGTGGGGTATTCTTATAATCCAAGTCATATATATTTTATGATATCGAAAATGAATTTATTATATATAAATTTATTTAATTTCGTATCCATTTGTTATCTATATCTATATCTATATCTATATATGCTCAAATTTGTCCATCTTATATATATATGAATACATTTGAAATACAACTGTCCAAAAGCTGAATTTCATTTTCCCACTCTTCATTGGGTTCAATTCAAAGGAGGATTGGAACTCAAACTGGGGTTTTTATCTTACATGACCTTATGTTATAACGAGACTTTCTTGGAGTAAACTATCATGAATCTCCAAACATACTTTGTTTACTAGAGACGTTATATTTTGATCTTGGGTCTTTTTGTCAATCATGTTAAACTCATGGATTATAAATAATAATGTCTAGCTCTAAGTTTAGTACCTACAATATATCCGAGTCTTCAATAATTTGACTCGGATCAGTATTTGAATAAGCTTGGGTTTCATAAAACCAACCGAAGTAGAGAATAATATTGTGAATTTATACAACTGGATTTTTGTATTATTTTTATTGATAAATCCAAAATCTAGTGCCAGCCCAGGCAGAAGCCTATTTTCCTATTTTGGTGAATTTTCACTATATGTTGGATCTAAGTACGATATGTTATTTTGGTGTAATATTATATGTTATAACTCATATGTTAGATAAGATTTGATATAATTTATGAGGATGAGTACAATATAATGACTCTTTCCATATTTCCGGGTCAAACCGGGCTAAAACGGTTGACCCAATAACCCTTGACCCACTAGCTCGATCGGGTCCGGGTCAACCTGCGGGTTGACAAACTTGGTTAGGGTGCTGAAAATCCCCGACTCTCGATGAAACTTTCACCACAACTCCACGCTTCCCCAGCTAGCTAGTGTAGGGGAAACCAGAGCTTGGACGTTCAACAGCTAGCAGCTAGATATTCAACATTGCTTGCATCTTGTGATTTGAAAGGAGGGTGGCGAAGAAGAAGATATCACGTATCTTTTGATCGCTGCTGCAGCTAATATTTTGCTTTTCTTGTGTGAAGTTAAGTGAAGAGAAGAGGAGGTAGGAGCAATGATCGCGGCCACTCCTTTGGCGGTAGGGAAAGGGCTGATGTGATTTGTGAGAGCATAGCTTTGCAGGCCGTTTTCATTTGCAAAAAGGGTTATTAAGAATTTAAGATATATGGTTAACAATTTAATTATTAAATTACAAACATAGCATGCAAAGTACAGGAGATTTGCTTTGTTGTTTTAACGTTACGTAGGGTATGGTGTACCTAAAAAAAAAAAAAAATTTGAATTGAATTGCTTACTACCCTAGTTAGTTGGTTGCGTAGGGTATGCTTTGTTATAAATATATAAAGTTATTATTATAACCCAACCCATAATGATGGAGAAGTTGAGGTGTATTGGGTAAATCGGATATCATGAAAAGTATGATCTCTGAGTTAATTCTAAAAATATAACATAAGATGTGAATTGGGTTGTTCATTTTCACGAACTGTCAAGACTCGTCAGAAATGTGTCAATCGGGACCATTGAATCTCAGAGTCTATCTCGTACGATTGTTTTATTATGTGTACTCATGGTATGGAAATGTGAGGAGTAGGTATGGAAGTAGAGCCTAGTTGTTGAGAGGGTTTAAATACATACTAGATTATTTTTCGGCATTGATTAGAATTTTATGTGTTATACTGATCAAAATATCATAATCACTAATAACAAGTAACTGTTGAAACTCAATCCCAAATTCCGATTCTATAAAATAGTACGCGTACTCGACAATATCAAATATCGAATTTGATATGGTGTTCAATGTATCTACTTTATGGTAACTCTCGATGCTCAATTTTGGATGCACAATACTTAACCACAATGTCATTCCAACAAAATAGAGTAGAAGGTAGAGATAAAATCAACTAAATAGGTGGTTTCTCAACCCAAAAAAAAAAAAAACTAAATAGGTTATTCTTGTCATTACTGTTTAAATAGTTATTATTTTCTTTACATATTTTGTCAAAATCGGCACAAATCGATATCCGATCTTATTTACAGATCTGCCATTTCACTTCTATTCTGCAAAATATCAATCGCCTATTGGAGCGCGTTCAACACACTGTAATAGTAAAGGAAGTAAGGAACTGGAAATTTTATTGATCAATTCTTCCATCAAAAAGAAAGGGGAAAAAAAACACACACAGCACCCTCCCTCGCGTTTCCGCCACCGCCCGTCGGCAGAGTCGGTTCTTCCACCGAAATGCACAACAGAATGCCAAATCCGACCCAGTTGAAGCCGGTGGGTTGGGGGAGATCGACGGGCAACGAGAAGGTTCCGAACTATAAATTTTGTCCGCCGAACGCGGCCCGGAAAAAGGTTTCGAAGAGCGCGGAAGGTCAGTTCGGGGAATACTTTGGAGAAGAGGGGAAAGGCCGAGAAGAAACCAGCGCACTTGGAAGGTAATCTTCTCTTCTTTCTCCATTCGAGATCGCCATTGTCGATCAATTTCGTCTTTCCACTGTTCCGAATTTCCGTTTTTCGTGATCTCCGATTAAGATCGTCGAGATCTATCTCTGCACCAGTTCTTTGACGAATTATAGCCCGTGTCGATCTTGTTCCTCGTTATCTATCCAAATTATATTTCTCGCGATCTCCATTAGCTGATTTAGCTCTTCCAGATCTAGCAGTTCTTTAATCGAGTTTCTGCGATTTTTGATCATGTTCGCTCTCTGATCAAAATTTCTATTTCTCGTGATATCGGTAAAGCTGTTCGAGATCTATCTGATCACCAGTTCTTTAACGACTTTCTGTAATTGTTGGTCCTGGTTCTTCGTTTCACTGATGTAAATTTCACTTGTTTGATTATTGCGTTTGTGCAGAAAGGTGGTGCGGTTGTCGATTGCGCAAGTGTTGACTGCGATTTCTCAGACTCAGAAATCTGTTCTGAGTGTAGCCTACAAGAACAAGAAGTTCTTGCCTCTCGATCTTCGTCCCAAGAAGGCCAGAGCCATTAGGAGGAGGCTTAGCAAGCATCAGGTACTTCTTTTGATTCTACACATTTCGACCATTGTGATTATGCAATTTGAGTTGCAATCAACTGGGATCCCTTGTTGAACCGAGGGTTTGGCTAGCATCATCACCTGCGGTTTACTGTATGAATCTGGAATATTTGGTTGCCTGATAAAAGATCTGGAACATTGGTTGATTGTTGATAATCGTATCAGAATTGTCCTCTTGTTGGGATACAATGCCCTGCAAGCTAGTTGTGGCTCTTATATATCATGTAGATGTCCGATTTTAAATTGTTCTCTACATCACAGTTCGCTGTTTCTGTTCATTATCTTGCTGGTTAAGTCAACAAGTTTCATATCTAATTTTTTCGTGGTGTTGTAGGTGTTCGTGGATCATGGATTTTCGTTTTCCTAATGGTATAGTCTCTGTTTTCTATTCCCCTCGTGCTCCATCTCTAGTTTTTTTGTTCCATCACTAGTTTTTGTAGCCTCTAAATCCTATTCTCTGATGCCTTTAACTAACTGTAGTGCACTTTTTATTTGCAGTCTTGGATCTCACGCCCTTTACCCTTCAGCAAAGGGTAAAGGTATCCAAGTTTTTGGCACGTATGGATGCGCAGAACTATATGTTTGTGCTTTGGAAGACAAATGCTCTCTGCATCTTCAAACATGCTATGCTTCGAAGAGCTGAAAAGCTTGCATCAATACGGAATTATGTAGATGTTGCTGATCTTGGTTGGAGGGTGGATACCCCCATTGTCGAACCTCTGGCAGTGGGTGAAGACCTAGTCCTTCCAGAAGACATCAGCTCATTTGTTATGTGTGAAGATGCCCTGAAGCACTTTATAGCAGATCAGGAGCAAAAAATTATAAGTTCCCATGTTACCATTGAAGATATGCCAGTTTCTGCTGAAGATGGAGCTATACCGGGTTTTAATTACCTGTCTTCCGAACTGAGCGCCCGATTGACAAAGTTCATGCAGCTTCAGGATGTTCACCGTGTACTTTGGGAGAGTTTGAAAGATGAAGAAATAGACCTTGTTCTGTCTGGAGTGGAAAAGGGGTTGTTTGCTGCTGATGGCGAGGACTTTCATACTCATGCTAATGAGGTTAGGTCTGCTGTGAATCCTGAATTTGGTGACAGACTCGCCAAAGCAATCGCGGAGTGGCACTCCTGTTTTGCATACCCTGATTCCCTTGCACCATTGCCTTATCAGGTTTCTGTTCCAATTGACTGTGTGCTTCCCTTGCATACCCTGCCTTGGACTCCCGCTGAGGTTGAGTTGCTGATAAAAGGTGTGGAGGAGATCGGGATAGGCAGATGGCAGCTACTGAAGGAAAGGAAGGGCCTGTTTCGGAGGCAAGTTTCTGATATTGTCAATAAATGGAACACGTTGGTGCAGTATGATCGTCGTCCCGGCTACTCTCAGCATCGCGATGGGTTAAGTCTGCAGCAGTTGCGTCGTGTGAAAGAAGCGAATGTGGAGAAACCCAAGGAGCCTTGGAATCAGGGGGAAGTGGATAAGTTGGTTCGAGCAGTGGAGGAGTATGGGACAGGCAGCTGGCGGGATGTGCAACATCACATGCAATCTGTCCGTGGTGTTGCGGATATTGAAGATGAGTGGTGCACCTTGATGAACCATCTCAACAGCCCCTGTTATTTTCTGAATATAGGAGCAACTACTACTTGGCAGCTATTCCGGGTCAGGGCTGCTACCATTGTGAAGATTGAGCAGCCTGGTAAAAAATCTGTGATTTCTGATATTTCTCGATCTCTTGTTTGCCATTCCATCCATTTGCCATATATTCTTTCTTTATGATGTAGGTTTTCTGTTTTAGATCGTGATTTCTCTTATGCTCTTTGCTGTTCCTGTATTTACTTTGTTTTCATGGATTCTTTGTGATTTCTGTGTGGTTGCTACTACTTGGAATGTGTAATACTGCTCAGATTGATTTCGAATTCCTTTTTCTAACAGATGTTGATTTTAAGTCTGATTGTTGTTAATGGCAAATTTGTGTTGCAGTAGGGTTTATATCGGGAACTATGGAGTTCATAACAGGTATATATCTATTTTATACCTCTCTATTCTGTGTTTTCTCTGATAAATGGGCTGACTGTTTATTTATATATTATTTTGCAGAGTTGGATCTTTCGCCATTTACATCTATGCAGAAGAAAATGGTCATTCATTTTCTGTACAGGAAAGATGTGAAGTGCCATCTGTTGCAGCTGTGGAGGCTCAATGCTGTTGATTTGTTTTCAACCACTCTGTCTATGAGGGGTGATAAACTTGCTGATATTGAGAAGTGGTTGGAATTGGGCACAGAGCCACTGGGCGATGATGAAGAAAATCTTCTTGCTGAGGATACCCGGTTTTTTTTGGATTATGAAGAATCACTGTTTAGGAGAACAGAATTGCAGAAGGATGCTATTGTGAGTTCTGAACATGCTCATAATCAGGTTCTGCTATTTCCTGAAGAAGCTCTTCCTCTTGATTTGAGTTCTTTAACTCCTGAGCAGTCGGCAAGGTTAACTCATTTCATGCAACGTGTCGATGTGCACAACTATCTGCTGGAGATGTTAAAGCTGGACATTTTGGAACTTGTCTTGTCCCGATTGGAGGCAAAAATGTCTGCTGCTTTAGGTCAAGAGGAGATTGAGATACGGAGGAAAGAGCTTAATGATTTCAGCTCGGTAATTGACTTTCGTAACAGTGGCACTGGAGCAGAAAAGGACGTCATTGTCAACAGGGTGTCAAATGCTAGATATCCTGCCGGCTTTGCTCCCCAGATTCACGAGGTGTTTGTTCCTCTTATTTTTGTTGAACCAACTTACTCGAAATGGACAAATGAAGAACTAGAGCTTCTGATTGAAGCTGTGGAAGAAGTTGGAATAGGGAAGTGGGAGCTGGTGAAGGAAAGGAAGAACCTGTTTCGTAGTCTTTCTGCTATCAAAGCTCAATGGGAAACTCTTGTATCGATTGACAAGGGCGAAAGCTGGCTACTTGGAGCTCTTACATTTGAGCAATTGGGTCGTGTCAGGGCAGCCAACGTTGTGAAGGTTGTGCAGTAGGTTGGTTGCTGCTGTATTTTGTCTTCTTTCTTATCCAGGTATATCTTTCAGGTTTTGCTTCTTTTTCTTTTTCTATTTAGATTTGGTGTTTTTTCCAAACCATTATTACTGGCTGTGCTTTCCTTAAGTGTTTGTAACACCTGAACCTTTACAGGTAGCAGTAGGGAGACAGAGGAGAGCCTGCGGAGTGGAGTCTTTGGAAGCTGCAAGTGCTGGAAGGAACATTGTGGAGAGGATGGGAAGCTATAGTTGATTTTCTTTTCTTGTGCATGAGATTGTAGTGAAGAGGTTTAGCTTGTTTGTGTGGGGTTTTGGGAGAGGCTGTTCTGTTGCTCCTTGTTCTGTATAGATTTGGTATATTCCAAACCTTTAAGACTGGTTTTGCTGCTTTTCTCAGTGGTTTGAAGTACCTGCAACTTCAAATTCCTGTTTACAGGAATTCAGATCGTACATTCTATCCCTTGTATAAACTTCTTTTCAAAGTTTTGTGCTACTTACTAATCTGCATTTCAGTAGAGCCAACTGGTTATTTCTTGGTTCATCTCAGTGCTATGCTTTAATTTTTACTTTTTATTCCCCTTGTTTCTCATCTTGCTGAATGGTGTAGTGGTAACTGGTAACACTTGCTGTAGGTGATGTAAAGATTTAAGTGGAGGGGTCTCGTTGTTGGCCTGAATATGGTTCTGGTGGTTTTTCTTTTGGTTTACCATTATAAAAACTAGTTTAGTGGCGGTGTATTTTGTGAGTGGAGTATTGTGTAGCTATTGTATATTTTTTCTTTTGGCAAAGTAGCCTTGGTATATTTTATCTAGGTATAATTTTAGATACTATACAAGTGATCTCATTTAATTTGGTAAAGCTATGAATGATACCAATAAATACCTAAATCATAATGAACAAATAAATTAAAATATACAACTCATTTCTCAAGTATAAAGGTATATATGAGGAAAATAAATTATATATAAGAATCAAACATATTGACTACAAAAATATCATCCGTTAATGTACTGAATCAATTAGCATAAGGATATAATAGTTTGACAACTTAATAATAGTCAATCATTCGAATCGTAACCAAATCGGTTTTATTGTTTTAACTTGTTAATACATATTTGAAACAGATATATGTACATTATTTTCATTTTTGGTTTCGTTGTTGAATACTAATTGCAGAACATTCCCATAATGTATAGGGTCCATATCCTAAATGAGGATTAGACAACAAAATTAAGATCCATGGAGAGGTAACCCTTAATCTTTTATTTCTATCCTACCTGAAATCTTGACCAAGATTAGTCAAGAAAACAGATAGTATAATGTTAAAATATAAGTTATTATGGTGTGATTAAACTAATGGGTTAATATATTTCTCTGGCCCGAACTTTCCACAAATTTAACATCCTGGCCAATCCTTTTAGTAATTAATATCGTGGCCTGAACTTATCATATACTTTACTAATTTAGCCAATTCCGACCTTTGACCGTTAGTTCTGACGGTCAAGCCCGTTGACTAACGGTCAACCCGCCACGTCATCGCCAACTAAGCATCTATTAACCTAAAATAATCTGATTTTCCACATAATCCCATTTAACTTTTCGTTTTAAACAAAATTTAAAAAAAAAAAAAACCCTCTCTCTCTTAAATCGCAGAACAATTGCCCCACCCCCAAATTCGAATACCCTAATTCCCTTTCCCTCTACTCTCCAGTTCATCCCCGACATCTAGCATCGCCGTGGAAATAGCAGCGGCGGCCGGTTCCTATGCGTCGTCGCCGACCCGTCTCTTTCGCCGCCGTGCCATCTCTGTTGCCGCCGTACCATCTCTGAACCCCAAGACGTTGAAGCATGTCGAGGAAAAGCGGTAAAATCGCCGGCGAGGTTTCCACATCTTCCGGATCGACTAACACAACCACGATCTGGTTGCTGTGGTCCCTTGCTTGTGTGGCCCCGTCGTCGTCGCTTTCTCCCACCCGCTCTCAATCGACAGATCAAGAACTGGGGGCGACAGCGACAACTCGAAATCTTCAAATGGGTTCGGGGAGTGGAAGGGAATTGAATCGGAGTTTGAGGAGGGAACGGAATCGACTGCGGCGGCGACTTTACAGGACCGGCCGCCGCTGCGACTTCATCGAAGGATGGAGGGAGAATGGGTTCGTCGGAGGGGAAGGTTTTCGAAAATAAGTCGCTGGGGTGAAAAGGTAGGGAATAGAAAGCGTCCTGATAAGCTTTTTTTATTTTTATTTTGGTTAAATGAAAAGTTAAATGGGATTATGTGGAAAATCAGATTATTTTAGGTTAAAAGATGCTTAGTTGGCGATGACGTGGCGGGTTGACCGTTAGTCAACGGGCTTGACCGTCAGAACTAACGGTCAACGGTCGGAATTGGCTAAATTAGTAAAGTATATGATAAGTTCAGGCCACGATATTAATTACTAAAAGGATTGGCCAGGATGTTAAATTTGTGGAAAGTTCGGGCCAGAGAAATATATTAACCCTAAACTAATACGAGGATGTATGTTTTAATCTGCTTATCAATGATTTTTTTATGGTTATTGGTTAAATGAAAATTTCAATAAACTCAAACACCCTATAATAATTACTTAAAAATTATTATATGCAACTGTCACCAAACACAATTTAGTATTAAGATATTAGCACTATAACAACACTAATTGTACAAATAACCTATATTTTCCTTAAAAGAAAAGACTCTGTCTCAAAGTAGCATACCCTAAGACCTAAGTTGTTCAAATTTTATCTAATATCCAAACAACTTAGGGTAGGCTAAGTTGTTCAACACTAACCAACCGTTTCATTTCATTTTGGCGAAATTTACTATTGGGTTTTGAATTACCCTATCAAACATCTACGTCACATTTATTAGCATAATTATGCATCTCTTTTTTTTTTATTACCCAGGAACTTCAACCCCACATGCCACTTTTGTGACAGGCTGACAGCGTTGTCTACTAAACCTACCTCAACCCCACATGCCACTTTGTGGCAGCGTTGTCTACTAAACCTGGGGAGTACCTGCATCAGCAAAATTTCAAGGCCTAGCATCCGATACTAGGAGGAGACTTTGTCTCCAGCACTCGTGGTGCCTCCGGGAACACCAAGTGGTGTAGCGGGGTTCGAACCTGAGACCTCACACATCTCAAGCCCGAAAGACCACACTCTCAACCAACTTGGCTGTGTTACCTTTGGCAATTATACATCTCGTTTTATTTTGTAATAAAACATCTATTTTATCAAGTAAACTAGCTTTGTGCCCGGCCATTGGCCGGGTAAATTTTATTATTAATAATTATTCAACGGTATAATTAAATAATATTTAGTTAGATAATATTTTTTTGTCGATGTGTGTAATTATAAAATTGTGTTTCTAGGATGAGACTTATTATAGTTTCATCTGAATTTTGACACGATATCAATATGATTTTTCACTTAAATTGTTCTATAGTAAATCAATAAATTTTAATCCCTGAAGTAAGAACCTTACACATATTGCTTTGTAAAAGTAGTTAGCTGTTTTTGATTAATGAATTTTAAACTTGTACTACTTGGGTTTCTATGTATTTACTAATATACTATATTGTTTACCCAACAACTCAAGTTTGGACCTTATTGTTTGGTCCTTTTTCATATGCATTTCTTGCGAAGTTCCTAAATAAATCTAATAATATTTTAAATTTTTTGTAAATGATAATATCATAAAAAATGAGTTCAGTACGGAAAAGGAATAAACATCTCAGTATGCATAATTCAGCAATTGATTAGTTTAACTGAATTTTTGAACGTAATGTATATTTTCAAAATTAAGCCTTTGTCATATCAACTACATCCACGTTTTATTACTTATCATTTCATTATGATTTTTGAATTACATTATATCTAAAATAATATTTGAAAACTTGAGGATTTGAATTCTTAATATTTAATATTAGGATTGGACTAAACTTTGACTTACACTACACGTATACATGGGGAAAGAAAGATTAGAAATATAACGAAAACAAAGGAAAAGGAAAATCATTCGGTGTGTATTAAATTATGTGATTTTCTATAACTAGCTTGAACCCGACCATTTGGCCGGATGAATTTCAATGGTCTATGAAATATTTCAACCTTCTAAATTTTTATGTTTTTATTACCCATTATTTAAAATGTGTTATTTTGTACATTTGATCTATTAAGTACGATCTTTTGATTTTAATATACACATGTTAGTTCTGATTCTATTATAGAATTCTACTAAACAAACTCTAAACACTCAACCATTAACTTTTAGTATTTCATGTAAGTAACATATACTTCGGTTGAATATTCGTCTTACGAATATCCCAAAAAATTTTCAATCCAAGTGCTTCATTGTTACATAAAAGGTTTCTATCCCGTTAAATGACATTAAAGACACTCTTAATTAGGGATGGCAGTGGGTCGGGTTGGGTCGGGTTTTGCCAAACCCAAATCCAAACCCGCTGGGTATCCGTGGGTTTATGGGTAATCACGAGTTTTTGTCGTAAAAAATTTACAATAACAAGTTCTTATCAAAATTAAAGTCAAACATCAATCTCTCAATACAAATTATCCATATATAAAACATCATTCTCGAAAATTCAAGCAAATCACAAATTAACTATACAAATTGTTCAACACCAATCTAGAAAACACAAGACAATGAAGCAAATCACAAATTATCCATAAATCTCGGTTCTTCCCCACCCCCGCAGGGAAGGATCACGACCACGTGGAGTTTTTTTTGGCAGGGAAATTCATTATGATTGGTTGAATGAGGTGCTCACGTGGAGGCACTGAGTGAAGAGAGAATTTGAAATGGAGAAGCCTTTTTTGGATAACTGTATAATATATTCTTTAGAAGATTTAGATTCTACCTTTTTCCGTTGTATACAAAATAATAAAATATAACTTTTTTACTTTTCTTTTATTCTTCTTCCTTTGACTCCTTCTCTCTTACTATTCAATTCTGCACATCAGTTCCAGATTAGGGATTTGCAACCCATCTCTTTCAATCAATCCATGCCAGATTTACAATCTTCTCAGCTTTAGGGTTGATTTGTTCTTTTCCGCTCTGGACGATCTAGTTTAATTGCTATTCAATCTTTTCAAAAGCCCACTTAAAGCTACAAAGTAAAGGCGCAGAGGAGGAAATCGACGTAGGGGAGATGGAGCAAAGTGGCAAGGAGAGAAAGTTCAAAACTTCATGACAACGTGGTTCGATTGCTACAGATGAACTACATGGAGAAGTTTCTCCCTATTTTTCGAATGGAAAATAGAAACTACACAAGAACAAAACTGCCACAATCTTCAACAATACAAAACTAATTCCAAAACCAATTTGAGTCAAACATACTAGATTTGTTTGTGCAGAAAATGGGTGTAAACTGTAAACCAAAACGTTAATGCATTAAAATATTGTATGACAACTCTTTTCCGCGAAGATCATATGACACCCAACAATACGCCAAAATGTCACACAACTGCCAAAGAAGTTAATACAAACGGTGTCTTCTTATGATGGTAATGGCTACCAGCATGAAAGCACAACTCCGTTGCATCAAAACAGCTACTCACTGTGGCAAAATCATAAAAGGCAAAGTAGAAGAAAATGCATGGAATATATGACCATCCTATCACTTACATTGAGCTGGTACTACAACAGCTTTGATCAATGATAAGCCAGTGCATCCAAGCTATTCTCCCGTACACCCATTTTCAGATATTGCCTTCGTCGTCGCTACCGGTGGCGGAGTTTCAGTCATAACCTACAAAACACATGTCCTCCCAAATTGGGAAATCAATAAATCAGAAGGGCAGATACTTAATCACCAAAGAAGCTATACTTAAATCAATAAAGTAAGATTCCAGCTCTCCCATACTTCTCTTGTGCTTGTGTTTATGGCTGCCTAGAAAAAACCATTTCACTTATCTGGTTTTTAAAGCAGCCTCAACATCAATGAATTGGAAATGATGATCTGACTTGGTTTCTTAGCAGCTTCCAAGTACGTTTCATCACCAAAAGCGCCTATCTCAACACAATCCTTACAGTTTTAGGAGTTGAGATCATTGACTCCTGCTGTAGTGTGATATTTCAGCGTGAGGGTGTCAGATGAGTGGGAGGGGCAACTCCAGAGGCGCTAAGTTCGCAATTGTAGTAATGGTTGCAACATCTCCATCATTGGGGTTCTGCTATTCCTTGTTTGACACAAAAGAAACAGAGGGGTAGGGAAGGCAAAGACAGAAGCAGAAGGAGGTATTCAGTCGTCGAGATATCAATGGAAGAGGAGACACAGAGCATAACCAACTGAGACTAAGCAAAATAGGGGCTAAAATCCAGCAGCCAGCTTTCAGATTTCAATGGTAGAAGAAGAAACTGAACATAACCCTCGTCATTGAACAGAAAACCCAACTCAAATCTTACCTCTTGAGATTCACGGAGGGAATTTGACGGATGAGTGAAAGATGTAAGGCCTTTTTGTGGCCCTGGAGCAACCTGAAATCATGATAATACAGAAGCGGCAGCATTAAAAAAAGTACAGAAGCAGAATTACAGCATGAGAAGAAAAAAGCGCAGCTGCAGCAGCAGAAAAACAAAGGAAGCTAGGAAAAGAAGGGTTCTGACTAAGGTCACCAACAAAATGGAATAACTACATAAGGGCCAAATAGCAGCCAGGAGCATCAGAATTGCAGCACCACTAATACGTAAACATACACAAAAGAAACAGTAGAGGGCAGCAAGGGAGAATTGTTTATGTGGAACCGAGTTAAGAGTAGCAGGACTGCAGATGAATCAAAACAGGCCTAGGAGGTTTGCTGCAGGGCACTCTTAGACAATTCCATGAAAACCCGTGACATAGAAATATAGTATGAAAGCAATGTATTCAATGCCAACAAAAAAGGAAGTTTGACACAAATTGGTACAAAATTTTACAGATTCAAGTGTTTTGACTCATCTGCGGTCCTTGGACCTAAGCATGGAAGAAGTAAAGAAGCAAGTACAAAGCTAAGATTAACAAAAATGACCCGACTAATCCACCAAAAACATTTGCAATGACTGATTAACGACAAAGAAAATGGTCATAACAGATTCCAACGTTCTTTCGAGCTTATGCAGTTCCAGGATGTTCAGACCATTGAATCTGGAGTGGCAGGCGATTCGTAGTTGATGATATTCTTTCTGCGATCGGAGACAGTACGAAATTATGAGTAAGATGGGTAAGGACATTCCTAGCAAAGAGATTAAACATACTGGGTACTTGGCATACACACATGATAACAAAACAACTAACACACAAATGAGAACAATTTCATGGATTGCAATCCCATTGAGATTGAATATAAGGAATTAATTAGCAGAACCATAAAATAATCTGAGCTTTGCATCCTTAGGAAGTACAAAGATGTTTACAGCTCAACCATGGAAGCTTGCAGAGATGTTGTCTTTCCTCCAGGACCAAGAGGACTCACAACAGCAGTCCCATTAATAGTTCATGAAAAGATGTAACAAATGTTTTGTTATTTGAATTATTTCGTTGAGTGAAAGAAGATGAACGGCAGGTAGCCCAATGATACCAGCAGCTGTAGATGAACATCAAAATGTCATAATGAAGCTCACGTCTTGTTGCTTCTGAAAGGGCCTACTGGTTCTTTCCTAATAGTTGCTTCCTCTCTGCATGTACAGGACTGGGTGAAGGTGGAGGATCACACTACTTATGAAGCCATAGTAGCTGGCAACAGATGTCGGCTTCTGTCAACTAGGTTTTGTGGAGTCTATTAGGTTGTTCAATTCCACCCTTGGCATAGTTGCCGCTATAAATCTAATATATGCACTCTGCAATTCTATCTGCAAGTTGGTTCCTACTGTTTTGCTCCTTAATCATGCTCTATCTGTATATGTTTCCGTTGTCACAAATTTTACCACCTTATGCATTCTTTTTGTGTTTCGGTGAAGAGGGTATGCAGGGAAAGGGAAAGTCCATTCTAGGATTCAATCTTAAAACCTTCGGATTGAACCACACCTTTGCACGCCAACTTATACTTCCTGTTTTTATGCCAAAATAAGGGCAAAGTTCAGATTTGATAACCGAGAACCATAGTTCTATCAGCATAATTTTATACCAAGGCAAAGAAAAAACTGATATTATAATAATAATGCAAAAGCAACAATTTGTTCAATTATCATAACCAATCAAAACAATAGTTGAGATAAGTAGTATCACTCAAAATAACATCTAAAATAAAAATAGTTACTTAACATTAATATAAGTAGACATAACAGAAAAAATAGATTATTTTTTCAATTTGTAGCATGAGATTGTACATGCTGCCTCTCAACTTCTCGTACCTTGGATGTTTTCCTTTTTCTCATACGTCGTACCTTGGAACTGGAGCAGCCCAACAAGAGACCCTTGGCAGGAACACCATGACAAGAAACTTCTCTGTACTTTGGAATAGGATCACTACTGCTCTTGTGCATTGCTCGCAACTTCTCGAAATTCGGAATTGGAGTAGCCCAACAAGAAACCCTTGGGCGGACCACCAGAGAGTACAGGACATCTTCTGACCCTTCTGGTTTGGCGAACAACTCAACCACTTTCTTCCTCAAATCGCTGCACAATACAACATTTGCATCACGGATTCCGTAGAAGTAGACAATTTCCGGCTTCTGTGGATGCAGAAAGGGTGTACCAAAGGCCTTGGGTTCATAGTTACAACACTTTGACGTACTGCTCACCAGCCCCTCGCATTGTTTTCTCCAAGATTTATGGTCTTCTTCCAACCTCCAAATGCTCGAGCGAAAAGGAGGAGCCTCGTTTTCTCGCGCTATTACGTGCAGAGCGTCCTGAGAGACTGCAAGAGACCAGCCCGGTTTCGCAACAAACTCAGAGACATCAATGGAAGCGGGAGGCATATCAAGCCGGAACGGATTGAACACATCAACGAATTCATCCTTCTTGCCAGGGAATTCTTTATACTTCCAAAACAACTCCCCCTTGCAAGAAACTACATTTTTGGTCCCCCATTTCATATGACCATCGCGGACAAGAGCATCCTTAATCCATTCTCCAGACTCCGAACAAAACACGTCTAGTCTTATCGATACCGGCGTGAGCCGTTGATACATACAAACCACCCGGAACCTACTATTCCCAGATGTTTGGGATTCGCAAACTAACCTTGTGACCGGAAATAAATACTCAATCAACTTCCTGGGCGCCAAAGGAAGACCATGCCACTGCTTCGTCAACGGATTGCAGACGAGGTACGATCTGCCGTATTCCCCATTGTCGCGAGCTTTATCCCAAAACCCGCACAAAACCAGGTCCTTGTCGCAGTGCAAAACTCTGAGCGCGTCTCGGTCTTTAACCCCATTAGGCATCGGAGGCAGGAAGCTGAGGACGACGGATTTGAGATCGTCCGAGGTCATGATCTGGCGGTGAGAAACGAAACGGCGGTTGAAGGAGGCATCGGAGATGACGGACCTCCACAGCTGGCAGACGATTTTGCAGCGGCAGTCGGATCTAGGGTCCGGGAGGCGAATCAGAATCTCTACGAGGAGATCGGGGCCGAGCTTTCGGATCAGAAGATTTGCATCTGAACCGATTCGTTCTCGTTTTCGGGAACCGACAAGGAGTTGTTCGCTCAGCGGCGGATCCCGATCCAAGGAGCTGCAGCTCTCGGTCGTCATGGCGTAGACAGACGAAGGGAAGTAGCGCACGCCGGGATGGAGGAGGAAGGATTCGGCGGTGGTAGGCGGAGATTGGGATTGCAGCGGCCAAGACAGCCCGGAAAGCGCGATGAGATCTAAAATCCGCTTCTCCTTATTGTTTTTATTCTTCCTATGTCAATGCACTACTCCTTCTCCTTTGCGGCTCGGGATTTTAGTGGGTAAGCTTTTTTCACTTTTGCTTGGGCCAGGGCCGACTTGTATTGAATTGGCCCAACCCATTACCCATCTTCTTCCAAGTAGTGATGGATGTTGGATTTGGCGCAAAATTATGTACAGTTTGAGTTCTTTATCGGGTTCGGTTAAAGCAAAACCGAAATTCGAAAAATCCGAACGCCTAAAAATACAGGTTGAGTTCTATTCATTGGAGGTTTTTAGCCGGAACCCGAAAAACCGATAAGCAAAACCGAACCCGAAACCAAAAAACCCGAAACGAACCCAAAAACCAAAAATATATATAATCGGGTCGGTTTCGGGTAAACCCGAAAAACCGAACCCAAATTGACACCCCTAGCTAAGAGGCCTACCTTGTCTTACAATCTTTTCTTAAAAGCTCCCTAACGTAAACTAGTTCCAACTTTCAGTCGACATTTGCCAAGGGAAGGTGAACGAGACTATGATTTGTCGTCGGAGGAGGAAGAAGTAGTGGCCGGTGAACCGACTGACGCTATGTTTCTGAGTCGTGAGTTGGCCGCTCCGAGTTGGGTTGGACCTCTCACGCCGAAAAGAGGTTAGGATATGCTCGAACAAAGTGAGAGGGAAAAGGACAATCAGCTGCAAGGGATTGAAAGTGCGTAGTCCCTCGATTCAGGGATCGATAGCGTCTTCCCTCCCTTCACCCTTCTCCTTAACACCGAGGTATTCACTCATCTCACTTCGTTCCTAACCCCTACGCACACCTGCTCACATCTCGCTTCTGTCATTGATAATGCACTTAGAAGAGCTAAAAAGAAAGTCTTTTAAGACATGTTAATTAGCCCGTGAAAAGGTATCTATGAGAGTGGTGAAGGGAGGAAGTAGCTCGACCTTCCGAAAATTTTCTCAGGCTCTACCCTCGTTGCACCAAAAGACGCCGTTCAAGTATCAACCTCTATTAGCTATGGATAGTGGGATTGGCACTGATACACTTCATAATGACGAGCCAACACATCAGATACTTCTATTGCAATCCGGATCAGTTCTCTGACATGCCAAACTCAATATCCATGTTATAAACACAGTCTACTATTCACCAAAGTAAAACTAGCCGGGTTGAGCTTAGCATGAAGCAAAAACACGTTGAATCGCTTGGAGGTCAAGTTTAACCAAGCACCCTAATGCAACTTAAGAAACATAAAATTATGTTAAAAGATTAACTGGTTAAACTTAAAGAGGACCCTTTTAAGGAAAGAAATGAATATCATTTGGGCAGCATGCAACCTTCGCTGGATGCATTGAACATACAGGAAATATAACTTCAATAGATAGCATTTAGGGCAGGCAAAACTAGCACAGATAACTGTCATTGCTCAGAAATATAACTTAAATAGAGTTTCTTAAAGGGAAGTAGGCGGAGATTGGGATTGCAAGGGTAAATTGCAAGGTTGGTCACGGTAATTATTATAATGTTTCAAGTTTGGTCACTAGAAATACTTAATTCCGTTTGTAGTCACTAACTTTATATTTTCGTTGTATTTTTAGTCACTCTCCGTCCAATTCCGTTAACTTTTGTCTATGTGGCAATCAACTCTTATAGTTGACCGTTAAATTTGTGACATGGTATTTAACAAATCAATAAAAAATAAAATTTAATAATTCAAAATTTCCACATCATTATTGTAATTAATAAAAAATAAAAATTGAAAAATAATTACTTTTAGTCCCTCCTATTCACCTCGCTCTCTCTCCTCTCTCTCATATTCGTCGTTCACTCCTCGCCCGTAAGATCGCCGCCGACTCTTCTAAATCCCTAGACGTCGCAGCTCAATTTTTGCAATTTCGCTACGGTGCACATAGCCAAATCAATGTGCACGTCCACACTGAGCCGAGAAGAAGCCACGTCACCCAAAACCTAAATCAATGGCTGTAAGCGCTTGGCTGGAGGAAGGGCTAAAAAACCCTTTAATGGCTAAATGAGGGCGGCTAGCCGAGCCAGCCACTCTCTTTTCTCTCCCAAACGCACTCCCTTCTTTGAGCTAGGTTTTTTCATTCTCCTTCTCTCTTGCAGATCAGTTGTTCTGGCCTGATTCGGAGAAAGGGGCTTTCTCGTTCAGCCCGTAGACGGAGCTCGACGACGCCTAGAAGGTGGTCGGTTGGGGTTCGCCGACTTGAAGATCTCGAGGAGGGTGACCAGTCCGGCTGTTGAAGTTGTCGATCCCGTCCCCACTCTTCTTGAGCGCCAGGGAAACGTGGTGGATTTGGCCCAAATTCCTCACCTGCTTCTCCTACTCGATCCCGTTCCACGAGGCTGTGAAATACTTGCTCCCCGAATCGACGAAGAGATGAAGTGCTTCTACCGCACCTAGAATCCCTCTGCCGGCTTCAACCCGGTCCTCGGTCCACTACCGGGTACACAGGACTTCGATGATGTCTCCCTCGAGGATCTGGAACTACCGGCGATGACTCCCTCCTTACTCTCTGCCTGCCTTTCGTTATTCTGCTGTAATGTTCCTCTCTACTTCCTTCTTATCCTTTGATATGAATTTCTCTGCCTATTGGGGATCTTCCCGGATCTTTAATTCATTACTGTTATTGCTTTTCTTGAAGCATTGGTCCTGTTAATCTGCTTATGTTGGAACATACTGTAAGTTTGGAGTTGGGTATAAAGAGTCTTGTTTTTTACACCACCAAACATGGGATTATATGAATGGGAATGGGTTGAGGGGACTCATTGAGATATGGCCGAATTTTACATATATCTACTATTCTTCTTTCTGGTATTTATTTAAGGCAAATGCAGTGCTCACATATGCATTTACGATTGTTACATATCTTGGCATATGGTGGTATATAATTGGCCTGTGAAGCACTGCTTGACTTTTATGCTATGTTGCTAGCTAGAAGAAGTGCAAGTGTTCATTTGTTTCCTCTTTAGTACAAATGTGTAATAGTGTGTGTGAATCCCCTTTGATTTAATGTTGTTTTCCACTATGAATCTGCAAGATTGAATCTACGCTTCTTGTTGCTGCCGATCAACCAATTTTGGACTACAAGGATGTCATGTTTGACTGTCCAGTTAGGTAGATATTAGAATATGAGTTGAGTAAACACCAAGTATTAGTTCACCTTTACCGAATATGATTTGAGTCTTATTGTAGATAGAAACTTCTTTGTGCATTGAAGGCAGATTGTAGGCGAGGTATTTGACATAAATATATGTTGAATTTGAGTTTTGATCTGTGTTTTGATGTCCAACACAGATCAAAGTCTTTTGGGGGGCTTGGATGATGAATAAAGTCTGGAACTTTTTGAGGTTTTAGCTCTCTGAGCTACCGGTGGTTAATTGGTTGGGGGTGGAGATGAAAGAAAGTTGCTGTCTTTTTTCTGGTGAAAGTTTTGATATTTTTCACGTAATTTCCTTCTGTGGTTAAATATTCAAGCTCGGTTAGGTGACCTGTAGTTTGTTTCAATTTTGGAGCTTTTATTTGGTTGAGGATTTTGGTGGGGAAGAATCTGGAATTGACAGTCTGAGCTCCATCTTCACAGAGTAATGACAGACATTGCAGACTTGCGTTTTTGGGTATTGTGAGGTTTTGATCTGTCGGTTGACCCAACCACTTTGGGGGTTTGAGGATATAGATGAGAATTGTGACATACAGCTTAACATAATTTGCCTGGTTCAGTGGATAAAGAGTTCTTATCATAAATGACTGTCCAGTAGTTAGGAAAGATCAACTTAGAAGATACTTGGAGTTTGATTATACCTTCTTTTTATTCTCTTAGGGTACTCAACCGGTGTCATCGGATCCTTTTATATTGATTATGGACTGTGAGTGCAGCTTATAAGCAAGGTGTATGGATATATATCCAAGCTCCAATTGTCATTTAGCTTCTGATTCTATTATATGTGAATATCAGATGCTTGTCTTTCTTGCAGTGTAGTTGTACATCACTAAGACTGCCGTCGCAAGATGGCCTCTCGCTCCGTCCTCCTCCGACTGAGATCGCAGCTCCTCCGCTCCACGAAAACTACCGCCGCTTCCGGCTCCTCTTCCTCTTCCTCCTGCACCAGCATCTTCTTCTCCTCCACTCGCCAAATCGCTTCCGCCGCCAGATCGGAGCGGTTGATTCTCTCCCCAATTTCAGATCTCCGCGCGGCGTCCGGCGACTCCGGCTCGATCTCAGGTCTACGGCTCTTCTCCACGGCGCGCCGCCACCCGGCGCGGCCGAAGAACGTGGACATTGGAGCCCGAGCTCGCCAGATGCAGACCAGGCGGCTGTGGACCTACGCGATCGCGTTCAGCTGCGTGGCCGGGTTCATCGTCATCGTACTGAACAATTTCCAGGACCAGATGGTGTTCTACGTGACTCCCACCGACGCGATGGAGCAGAACAAGGCGAATCCGAAGAAGACGAAGTTCAGATTGGGAGGATTGGTACTGGAAGGCAGCGTGGTCCAGCCGGCGACGACGCCGGAGATGGAGTTCGTGGTCACTGATTTGATTACCGATATTCTGGTGAGGTATAAAGGGGCTTTGCCGGATTTGTTCAGGGAAGGGCATTCGGTGGTGGTGGAAGGATTCGTGAGGCCGATTACGGAGGAGTTGAAGAAGGAAACGGGAGGCAAGAGTGTTTCAGAGAAGGCCAGGGGTATAGATGTTTACTTCTCGGCGACGGAGGTTTTGGCCAAGCACGACGAGAAGTACATGCCTGGGGAAGTTGCTGCTGCGATTGAGAAGAACAAGAAGAAGCTGGAAGAAGACAAAGAAGAAGGATCATCAGCAGCAGCAGTAGCCGATGAGAAGAAGTGACGAATTGGGTATGTCTTTCCACATTCTGATTCATTGACGGTAGATTGTCATCAATGGGAGAGTTCAATTATCAAGCCACATGAGTTGAATTTTTGCTGGTGTAGCTTATATACTTGAACTAGGTGATACTTGTTGATTCTTATGGAGCAGCTCCATATAGCCATAGTTTACTTCAACTGCTGTATTGTTACTCCAAGTTGATTTGAGCATTGATACTTCAATTTTGTGAGGAGAAATTGAATAATTATTTCATTGGAAAACTATTGTGATTGAATTTTGATAAATAGAAGGAAAGACAGTGAATGGATCACTTTGAAGTCAATAAAAGTGCACTACTTTGCTCCGGGTGTAAATCAAGTTTTCCCATTTCTTTTCTTATGTACTTTCATGAGACTTTTTGTTAGCCAAATTGCTGTTTCTCTGGACGACACAGCTTCTTCGCCAAAGGGTTTCAGCACACCTTCTAGTTCCTCGAACCGTTCACGTCTGAGCAGGCTTGCACAGATCTCTAACAATGATTCCAGTGCTTCGGCTCTTTGTGTGCTCTGAGCATCATCCCATTCAATCCTGAACTCTTCCCCATGCACTAAGTTCGCCGAGCTGCTTTGTCGGGATGGAGCATCGCTGGAATTGGTGTGTGATTCTTGAGTACTCTCTTTTCTTGTTTGTGTTGCAGCTGCAGGAGAAGGTTTGTCTGTCATCCTGTCAGTTGGAGGTGGTGTTATATTCTTAATGCAGTCTTTTGGTTTGCTATCTTTGAATGTCGGCTTGTAGTTCTTCATCAGATCAGAGACCTTCTTGCAGACATATTCAATGTGTTTCTGCTGGAAAGCTTGCTTGTTATTATTACATGGTGGTGGTCTGGCAGTAGCCTTTGGCTTACTACTATTATCCTTGGTGGTGCCATGCTCAGACTTTACTGGGAGAAAGACAGGAGATGGATTTTGGCATTGAGCAACATATGGCTGCAAGTGCGGGTGTCTCAACAACTCGGCCGCCTAAAATTCGACAAAAGGTTTGAACTTTGAACCGAAACACGAATGTCCGCAACAGGGAAAATATTAGGGAATTCAGAAGCGCTAAGGTTATATATTTTACCGTAGGCCGGTGCTCTGGGCTCTTCCGCAGCATAAACTTGATTAGTTGTTTCCTATTTGATAGAAAGCAACCCTTGATGAGCACATCAGGCAACATTCTACCCAGCAAGGATCAGAAAAGGTTATAAAGTTGATGACTGCACTCACAGTGTAGATGAGTATGAAGGTGGTAGTGGAGAAATGGAGCCACGGTTTATCTTGTGAATTAGTCCCGCCATATCCTGTTACAAGTTCATGAAAGCATTTTGAGAGCTGTTGTAAGAGTTCGTCATTAGTTGAGAAACTAGGGCTCAACTTACAGGAGCTCTGAATGGAGGTTGATGAGCTGCTATCTCAAACATACTGCAGCCTAGTGACCAGATATCTGATTTGTAGCCGTAGGGTATATCTGCAAGAAGCTCTGGACACATGTATTTTGGAGTTCCTACCACCTACGAAATAGAAAGCATTAAGCTTTTGCCAAGATGATTACTGGTCGAGTAAAAGGAGGAGAAAATGTATTCTTATCGAAGGCATTACTGTGGAGGCAAGGTCATCTTTGCCAAGCAATTTCGCCAGTCCAAAGTCACCTAAACACGCAGTAAACATTGATGTGATACATTTGCAGACAACTAAATTTGAGGTATGTTCCCTGAATTCTCAAGTTCTCACCTAGTCGGATGTCGTTGCTTTTGGAAAGGAATATGTTGGAGCACTGACACCAGAATTTAACACCACAAACATTATTGCAGAATCATCTTAATTATAATATACAGCCCTTTTAGAAGGATTCAGAAGCCTACTTTCAAGTCTCTGTGAAGAACACGATTGGAGTGGAGATAGTCCAATGCTAGCAGAAGTTGAGTTAGCCACTTGCAGAGCATCTACACCATGTTGAATGGAAAGAGATTTGAGTTAATCGATCCAAAGGAAAAAGCATACGAAATCCCAGTGGAGGTTGGCTTCTTACCTCTTCACTGAAATAAGTGCCTCTCGCTCTCCTTATCATCTGATCCCTGAGCAAAACTCAAATGTAGAAACGAATTACTCCTCAGTCTTACATTTCATAGGACAATCAATCTTAATATCTCAGCCCAAACTTACATGTCTCCACCCTCGCAGTAATTTGTCACAATACACACGCATTCCTGCAGACGCACGACAACCAAAATTGTGGCGATTAACATTTGCAGAGCTTTGTATTTTGCAGAAACAGAAAGCGGGTAGGAGCAATCATTCTGTCTTTTACCTTTCCGACCCAGGAGTCCTTGTACTCGACAATATACGGGTGGTTCAGCTCGGCAATCAAGTTCATCTCCTGGACCGCCGTCTGCTTGAACCTCTCGGTCTGTCTCGCCAGCTTGATCTTCTTCATCACGTACCTCTTGTTCTCCGGCTTGTTAACGACGAGGAATGCTGCTCCAAATCTCCCCCTCCCTATCTGCTCCGCCACGTCATACTCGTCTTCTTTGCTCCTTCCCTCCATCTCACCCCCTCTCTCTGTGCAACTTAACAACAGGTATGCTTTTTTGTGCTTCTTCAGATTCCTACCGCCATTGCTGGTGGGATGACGATACTAATATATACAACAACAAATGCTTTTTGTCAGGAGAGCAGGGGGAAAGAAAAGTGTGATGGAGTAAATGTTCTGTGTCTGTGGATGTGACAAATAGACATAGAAACGTGAATCGTGCTGTATTAAATTCTTACCCCAAATGCCCAATATTGCCCGGAAGAAGGGATTCCTATCGGAGTCTGCCAGTCCTCGAGCAGAATGTGAAGCTTTCAATTGGAGTAGAGCCCCAGAGACCAAAGAATGGTGTGAAGTTATGGAGAGGAAGGAAGAGATGCAGAATTGAGGCAGAAGCAATGGAAAAGGAAGGAGGGAAATGAAGTTTTGCAGGTGACAGATATGCCAACCGTGGGAAAGGGGCATTGCTTGCAGTATGGGATTCCTCAGGCATCATTACTCCCATTTGGTTGCTATGTCACAATCCTATTTAATTCCCAAGTCATTTCTCACTTTCTTCCTTTTACTCATTTGGGTTGGCCTCCCCTTTTCTTTTCTTTTCTCTCTTCCAATGGCTGGATTGTGTAGACAAGAGACTACACGTGTATTTACTTTACTTTAGAGATCAACTTTCTAAACACTTTTCAGTATATGTAATCCAATTCGAGATGATTTTACCAATTCTTGACTTGCCTATCAAATTTATAGATGATGTTTTTCTGATTACACTTTGATCGCTAATTTGTATTATCATACTTAATTTGGTTGTCATAGGAGATTTTCTCTACCAAAGTTTTGTTTACGTGATCTAGTCAATGAAAAAATATATGAACTTGGAAGTTACAGTTGTTTAGTTTCACTAGCGTTATGTTGTCAAAGAATCATAGGGTTATTACTTGTAGAACTAAGACAAAAATAGAAGCCATTTTGAAACCCAAAAACATGTTTATTTTGCAATTCTAACATGAACCATTATGGAACATACAAAGGAAACAGATGTTAAAAGCACCATGGTAGCTAAGAAAAAGGTTTTTGCTGATTTTTACTCACCTACTGACTTCTGTTGCTACAACAACAATAGTTGAAAAATGAAAAATACAACTAAACATGCGTTCGATGTAGGGGTGGGCATACAGTTCGTAAAACCGAACCGAACCGAATATAAACCGAACAGAATATAAACCGAATTAATGTTATTCGGTTCGGAATTCGGAAGAGAAAAGAGCATATTTCGGAAACCAGGGTCCTTTCGACCAAACCGAATTTCCGAATTCCGAACCAAAAAACCGAATTATTATAATTGCAATATCTAAATGGTGGATCTTTATGTTTCTACTTATTATAAGACTTAAATATTTGAATCATGTTAGTGTTTTATGACTTATGTGTTGAAATGTTTGATTTTATCATTGATGATACATATTTAGTGTTTACATTAGGGTGAAAAATAATTTAAAAAAGAGAAGATACAAGCTAACCTCACTATTTCGGTTTTGTATGAAAAACCGAACCGAATTATAATTCGGTTCGAATTCAGTTTGAAGTTTGATAGAATTCGGGAACCCGGTATACATAATTTCAGTTCGGTTTGAACCGAACCGATCGAATGCCAACCCCTAGTTCGATGTCTCTTCTTCCAAAAGTGGAAAACAAAACGCAACATCCATATGAAACACCATCCCACCACCTAGGATTCAGCATTAACAAATAAAACACGATTTCAGTATTGAAATTGTGGGCCAAGTTTGAGGCCCATTTAATAGCTGGCCTCAATTATTTTTTACTTCGACTGCAAGTGTTTTACTCGGCCCAGCCAAACTCACCTAGCCCAGTACCAAAAAAAAAAAAAACTCGTCGGAGTACGGTACCGGTGATTACCCTTTTTAAGTTCGACGGCGATGGCGAAAATGGGGAAGTGGACAGTGGTGGGAAGAATAAACGGAACACGCGCCACCACTAGCGACCAGACACGTCCCACAGCCTTAAATCAGCAAATATCGTTCGTTGGCAGATAAACTTTTGCCTTTCACTTTTCTAAAACGTATCCAAATTATGTGAAGGCTTGGGAGTTGCAGATCCCAGGTTCGAATCCAAGCGAGGCCCGTTGGTGTTCCCGGAGGTACAAGGCTGCTGGGGGCGAAGCCCCGTTGGCGTCAAATTAAATGCAGGTGGCCCCCAGGTTTAGTAGGACCCGCTGTCACAAAGTGGCACGTGGGGCTGAGGTTCCTGGGTATCAAAAAAAAAAAAAAAAAAAAAAAAAAAAAAAAACGTATCCAAATTATTAAAAAAAAAAAAAAATCTCTCCCCAAATCCAAAAAGAAAAGAAAATCGAACAAAAACTACTCAATCGAAGCTTAGAAAAAGAGGGCACAATCGCCTCTCTCTCTTCAGCTCCTCTCTCCCCCTCGGCTCTCCCCCTCTATCCCAGGCGATCTGGTCCATTTGTTCTAGGGTTAGGGTTCTTATCAATCCCTTGTTTCTCGTTCAATTCCGGGGTTTAGTCCCTCAGTCTCAATTCCAATCGGTGCATGTTGATTAGCTCTGTTTTGATTTTACTGAATGATGTTTTGTTTTGGGGGGGTTTGCAGGGAGGGGTTTGATTCATGCGCATATAAAACCCGAGAAATCGGTACGAGAGCAATCAAATTCTCACTCTTCAGCAGGTTTTTCTATTGTTTTCCTCCTTTCTGATTACCTTATAATTTGAATTTCGAGTGGTTAGCCTGTATGCAGAGTGATTCTGCGCAATTGGGGGATGTTTCTGGGTTTCTTTTGGGGGGCTTGGATGATGAATAAAGTCTGGAACTTTTTGAGGTTTTAGCTCTCTGAGCTACCGGTGGTTAATTGGTTGGGGGTGGAGATGAAAGAAAGTTGCTGTCTTTTTTTCTGGTGAAAGTTTTGATCTTTTTCACGTAATTTCCTTCTGTGGTTAAATATTCAAGCTCGGTTAGGTGACCTGTAGTTTGTTTCAATTTTGGAGCTTTTATTTGGTTGAGGATTTTGGTTGGGAAGAATCTGGAATTGACAGTCTGAGCTCCATCTTCACAGAGTAATGACAGACATTGCAGACTTGCGTTTTTCGGTATTGTGAGGTTTTGATCTGTCGGTTGACCCAACCACTTTGGGGGGTTTGATGATATGGGTGAGAATTATGACATACAGCTTAACATAATTTGCCTGGTTCAGTGGATTAAGAGTTCTTATCATAAATGACTGTCCAGTTTTTGGGAAAGAGCAACTTAGAAGATACTTGGAGTTTGATTATACCTTCTTTTTATTCTCTTAGGGTACTCAACCGGTGTCATCAGATCCTTTTATATTGATTATGGACTGTGAGTGCAGCTTATAAGCAAGGTGTATGGATATATATCCAAGCTCCAATTGTTATTTAGCTTCTGATTCTATTATATGTGAATATCAGATGCTTGTCTTTCTTGCAGTGTAGTTGTACATCACTAAGACTAGCCGATGGCTTTAACGTGTCCCGCATTTCCACTAGCCTTTGTTCATTTTCTTGTAGTACTTTGTGTATGATCCGAGCCAAGTCTTGTATACCTCAATCAGTCATCTGAATATATCTAACATGGTCATTGGATATTTCAGAAGTGAAAATGGACCATGACGAGACAGACTGCCAAGCTCCTCCAGACCATCCCATATTGTGTGTCAACAACTGCGGATTTTTCGGGAGCGCTGCAACAATGAACATGTGCTCGAAGTGCCACAAGGACATCCTGCTAAAAGAGGAGCAATCCAAGCTTGCTGCATCATCAGCAGCAAGTATCATGAACGGAACATCCATCACCACCCTTGGAAAGGAACGTGTTGTTGCTCTTGCTCCTGCCCCGATCATCAATGTACAAGTCAGTTTGGAAGAGCCAACACCAATCTTGGTGCAGCGATCTTCTGCTCCAGGTGTGGCAGAGAGCAACGAAGAGAAACCGAAGGAGGTGGGGCCTAACAGGTGCAACACCTGCAACAAACGGGTTGGTTTGACCGGATTCAAATGTCGATGTGGGCACATGTTCTGCGCGAATCATCGCTACTCCGACAAACATGGTTGTGCCTTTGACTACCGCACTGCTGCACGTGAAGCTATTGCGAAGGCTAATCCCCTTGTGAAGGCGGAGAAGCTCGATAAGATTTAGAGATGGTCATGGGGATAATGGATGTGCTTGTTTTTTCATCTACTCGGGATTTCATTGCCAACTATCCTATGAAAGGTGTCCCGGTTTAGGAATCACGGAGAGGGCGAAGGGAAAGAGGAAGAGAGCGGGGAGTGCATCTATGGCAGTATGGAAAGGACTTTACTGTGATATTGGCGAGGATTTATATGTTGGCTCTGAGTGTGTGTTGAGTGTTGAGTGTTGAAGTTAGTCACTTCTGGGTTTGTGATGTCTCACCATGTTTCATATGGCATTTTAGTACGTGGTCTAAGAAAAAAAATATATATCAGATGTCCAGTTTCTCTTGTAGTGGATATGAAAGACTCCTTGATGATTTATCGCCGTCTTAAACTCTGTAATTCCATGGCTCTTTGCGACTACGACCGACTCCAAATCCTTCTCCCATTGTCATCTGTCACTCGACATCGAATCATTAACTGCCCTTAGTTGCTCAGTGTGGATGACAATGGTTTATTCTATACAGCAGGAGTCTGTTTCGACCGTATGTAAGTAATACCATCAGTTAGAAGTTGAGCGATTCTTGGATCAAGTTCGAATTGAAATAGCATATTCATCTTGAATCAACCTATGAATCAAGTTCGCTCCCGAATGGAACTGGATCATTCTCCACTCTAATGCTAGGCCAGTTAAAGCGATTTTTGGATCAAGTTTGGATTGAAAGGCATTGTATCAGATGCATCTTCAATCTACCTTTGAATCAAGTTCGATTCTGGACTTAACTGGATCATTCTCCACTCTGATGCTATGCAACATGAGAACATTATGGAATACGTAGAGGAAATGAGGGATGAATGAAGCATAGCCTATGGCGCAATCATGTTCATGGTGTGCATCTCTCTGTTAACTCGGTACAATATGACAGCTCATGCCAACCAACTTGTGAAGTAGATTGGTCATTGTGAATAGTAAATGCCTAAATGGCAGGCTTTAGAGTTTGAGGGGCCTCCAGATCGGATTGGATCCGGTCCGGTCCCAATTTTATCTTGATTTTAGGTGTTGGGGGTCTCTTATCCGGTATTTATCCGATTTTGTACCTCAAATCTAAGCCCGAATATGAGATTACATTGTTTGCTATCCGGTCCCAGTCCGGTCCCGGTCTGAGTTATACGGTCCGGTTTTGGGTAAAACCAAACAGTCGGGGACCAAATAGCCAGCCCTAACTGGTTTGGACTTTGGATGCAAATATTGAGGTACCCAACGCCCCGTTGCTGTTCTAGACAACCGGAAGATGCAGCCCATACTTTACACCTTGGCCCGTTGGGTCTCTTGCTGTCCGTGGTCGGTCTATAGTATTGGGCTTTTAGCCTTAAAATTGCACTCTCGTAGGCTTTTTTACCACGTAATTCTCAGCCCGCCCAATTATGGCGGCTGCGCCAAAAAAGCTTCGTCACCGAAACCACCAGTCCACCACCGTCAGTCGCCACCATCATTCATTCAATTCAACCAGTCCGACCGTGCTTTTCTCTCTCCACCGTCTCGCCGGCTGACTTCTTCTCCAAACTCCGGAACTCAATTCTTCTCTACGCCGACGACACCCACCTGCCGAAGCAGCATCGCTCTGTCACTCAAAAGGTTAGCCTATCCCTTCGTCGCTACCTTCTCTCGCTGTTCCATTTCTGTCTTGTTCCCTCTGTAATTGATCGGATCTTACCGCAGCTCGCCGGTTAACTCTTCGCATCTGCTAGTGAACGAGTAATTAATTAGTTGCTAAGTATATCCCGGAGTGATCATTGAAATTGTTCCCTAGTAGTTCTCCCCCAGCTCGATGATGAACAACAGGTGTCTATGAATTACTGGTTAAAATCTAGCTCAGGAATCCGGATTACAATTGGAAATAAGGGTTCTGCCAATTCTGTCGATTGAACAATTTAGCAGGGCTGAAATTCTGAAATTCTGACCCTTTTTCCTCTTTTTTCCACTTTTTCCGCCAAATCTAGGGATTTGGCCGAGGTGTCTGACGCGGTACTTGCAGTAATAACCTTGGAGACGAAGCTACGGAACAGTCGGATTCTGCGAGGTAGGAAGAGAAATTTATTGGGGAGTGGAGTTTTCATTTCTTCGCGAGGCCGTAAGAAAGACCTAGCTAGAGAACCATATCTATTGTTCTTCCCCGTCATTGCGAAGCTACCCGTTATTCTTATTGCTCTCGAGTCACACTGGTAATTGCGAGCCAATCTGTTCGTTTTACTGTTTGTGAATTGATGCTTGAATTGAAATCGCTGGATGCCGGAATTGCCGCAACCAAAACCCTTGTGATTGATTGATTTAGCAAGTTGCTCAACTTGCACAGAAGTTTGTGGCGACTTTATTGAGATGAGATTCTTTGATCGATTTGGAGGTTAAAGAGCTCGCTTCTCTTTTAAACTACTAGTGTCCATCTCTTAGGATGGATAGTTATTGTTTGTTGACTTGATGTTCCATAGCTTTGCTGTCAGAAAGCTAGTAGGAATGTAGGATGCTATTGTTTGTTTTAGTTTGAGCTTACCAGTGGTAGGCCTGATTTTGTTTCTACAGTTTGGTTATTGTTTCAATGAACTTTGGAGGTATGAGATCTTTCAGTTGGGGGAGAGATACGTTTTTGTGATTCTAATAATTGGTTGTTCACTGCAGAAGGTATGGCCTTGATTGAAGAAGTGCCTCAGGAAGACAAAAAAGAAGAAACAGCGGCTGAGAAGGTCGCTTCAGGGAAGCCCAAAGCAGTGCCTGCAGAGACCACCACAGATTCAGCCACTGCCACAGCATTAACACCATCTGGAGGCGCAGAGAATGACTCAGATGGCTTTGAAACTGCGAGTGAACGTGATGTGAGCGACAATGATGAAGCAAATCAGGACATGAAGCAGCACCAGGAAGATGCTGCAACTGATGAAGAAGCAAAGCAGGTTCTCTTACTCCCCCCAAATTCAGTTTGACCCTCTCGTTTTGATTGCCTGACATTAGGATTGCAATTTTATTTTGGGGTTCTGATATTTAGATTGACGAGGTTATCTTAGCATAGGATTACTATTTGGGAGTTTGATGGCATTTGTACAGGCAAGCTGATTGGCAGATATGTTTGCTTGAAGAAGAAAGCTTCTCCATTTATACGTCTTGTGTGAATACTTATAGACTGTCATTTCTCGATGAAGCAGAAAGCATTAGTGCAAGCCAATGATGCTAAATTGGAAGGCAATAGACTATTTGTGGATAAGAAGTATGAGGAGGCACTAGCACAGTATGATGTTGCCCTACAAGTTGCCCCTGAATTGCCCTCTTCTTCGGAGCTCAGGTCCATATGCCATACAAACCGCTCTGTGTGCTTTTTGAAGCTGGTAATTATTCATCTAGTCCATTGGGAATTGGTGTTCGCTTGGCTTTTCACACCCTGTTTTTATCTCCATCTCCATTTCTAGTTGCAAGTTGCTTACATTTTCTAAATGGCATCCATGTTCCAGGGGTACACGTGTAATGCCATTTTTTCTAAATCAACTCTTTGTCAATGACAATCTACTATTTGTTATTTTCTTATAGGCATTCACTTCTCTGGGTTGGTTAGTGATTCTTTGAAATCCATACTTCAATCGGCTTTTAGAATGATTGAAATTCATGACATTCCTTCTCATTAACGTGTCATTGCATGCCTGCATAGATTTGGCTTTGTCTAGATTAGTGTGATGGTAATAAGTTTGAAGTGAAGTTTATGTTCTCTTGTCTGTTGTTAAAGCATACTTAGAAACAGTGATGTGGCAAATGGACCTTAATGAAGGAGACAACAATGATCATCATGCTTATATTTGGTATTTTTGCTCACTTTTTGAAGTTGCTCTTACATCAATTACTACAATATTGTCGTCTGCTTTATAAAGCAGAGTTGGTTGTTACAAAAGTTGGGCTGGATTCAGTTACATTTTCTCTCTGCATTGTTCCTCTGTATTATGCACATAGGATTAGGACATTCTTCTGCTTTAGAAAGCAGGCTTGGTTGTGAAGCTATACAAGTAGTCGAATTCAGAAACATTATCTTGGCACTATTTGCTGTAGTTTTGTATCTTTTTTATGCGTGAAAATTCTTCTGTGTGCCTTGTTTTTTCATGTACTCGTTCCAGGCCTCTCAGTATTATTGTCTTTTGTGCCCTTGGAAAGATTGAGGAGGTTATATGCATTGCCAGACAATTAGTATAAGTTTTGTGAACATGATGATGCAGGGGAAATATGAGGAAACAATCAAGGAATGCACAAAAGCATTAGAAATAAACCCTTCATATATTAAAGCTTTTATGAGAAGAGGAGAGGCCCATGAAAAGCTTACACACTTTGAGGAAGCTATTTCTGGTTTGTTCTTCTGGTTACCCAATATCTTGACTTTAAATCCACAATACTTGATATGTAATAAAGTAATTTAAGTGTTCTCAATCCCTCTCTTTATGTATGTGCTTGCTGCAGATATGAAAAAGATTTTGGAGTTAGATCCGTCGAACGACTTTGCTCGTAAATCTATGATTCGGCTGGAGCCATTGGCAGCAGAAAAGCGTGAGAAATTGAAGGAAGAGATGATTGGTAAGCTGGATGGACGGAGAAAAAAATTTCCTGACAAATTTAAATATATATCTATAGTTGTTTGTCTTGCTTTGCAGAAAGACTCTTTGTGATCTCTACTACCTTGTTTGATTGACTACAATGCATGATGAGGTTGTAATACTTGGCTGGCTTTCTGTAAATCTTATTATGAGCAGAGAAGCTGAAAGAGATGGGGAACTCTGTGCTCGGTCGATTTGGGATGAGCGTCGACAACTTCAAAGCTGTGAAGGATCCAAACACTGGATCTTACTCTCTCTCATTTCAACGTTAGTGTTCATTCGGACTCAAGTCTCTGGTTCTTCAGCTGCGGGAAGGGTATCATTTCATGCCTGGAGAACAAATGCTGTTAAACAAGAAGACCGGCCAATGTTTTTTTGTCTCCCCGTTTTGTGTTCATATTGAAGTCAAAAATACCCCAGTTTGATGGTTGAAATCAAGGTAGAACATTAGGAGGGTACTTCTATTGTTTGAGTCCACAAAGCCGGCGGCTTGGATTGGTTGTTTCGGTTTCCAGGTGAACGCATGTGTAGAAAGGATATTGCTGGACTGATGCGATATTAAAAAGTCATGAACGGCCACCTATGCTCTAATGACAGCGGACCATGTTTGGTTGATTTCTATTTAAAATTAGATACTAAGCATAAGTTGATTTGGTGGGCTAGAAACCTATGAAATATTTTTTGGAGCATCATCTAGCACTCAATCTGTGTAGCGTTGAAAGGAAACGCTGCATAAAATTTATGAAGATTGTTTAAAATAAAAATGCATCCAATGTTAACACTTAGGCCACGTTTTGAAACTTTCTGTTTTCTATCATGTGATATGTTTAGTAATGGGGTAAATTGCAAGTTTGTACACTAGAATTAGGGGTGTGCAATGGTTCGGTCCTTACCGGACCACACCAGACCAAACTTGTTTGAGCCTAGAAAGTTCTAGGCGGTTTGTGGAAAGCGAGCAAGGCGTCTGTTCCAGATGATGGGGGACTTCAAGCTCCTGCAAAACAAGGGTCCGTGGGCGGTCACCCCGGACACCCTCCGATGCTTAAGTTAGAGAGAGAATAAGAGATTTAGTAATGTTTAGAGAGAGAGAGTAGTTGGGTTACCATCAATGCAGATAGGAATGTATTTATAGTGGGTTGGCCTGGACTTCGAGCATTAAATGCTATGTCAGACGTCCTAGATCAGACCCTGCTTTATCTAGACCGCCTACGACGGGCAATTAATGCTCAATAGCTAGATGTACCTTAATGGGAAATTTACACTTTGAGTCTAGGTGGAGGGGTAATGTAAAACCTTAGATCAATCCCACATTGACAAAACATGAGAAAGATCCATGCTCCATAAGGAACAATCGAACCTTAATTGATAAGACGCGTTTTCGGATGAAAAACAATTCTTCTAGGAACTATGAAGGTAAACATGCTCAAGGTGTAGTAGTGTAGAGATGCGTGACCTCTTGAGCAGTGACTTAGCTAGGCTTTCACTTAAGATGGATCCAACGTAAAAAATAAAAATATGCAAAATAAATTTTAAATATTTAAATATCCACGAAGTGCTTGCATAGTTTGTAAACTTATTTCCATTTGGGGATGGAGAATTCGACTCAAATGAGGAATTAGTAAACTCATAATACATAATTAGAGACACAATTTTATGTAAAATCCAGAGTTATTTAAATAATATGCAAAGTTAATGAGTGCCACAAAGTTTTCTACATTATGTTGGTAGACAAGTAAAACTAATGAACATGAGTTACAGAATACAAGAAGTAAAGGGACAACTGTTGGGATATGGATTAATATGCCTCATACGAAAACTACCACATCATCAATAAGCCCAAGCCCACCACAAGGCGTCTTACCTTGGGCCTAAGACCACTCATGGAGGACTCAAAACCCTATATAAGGAGGCTCAAGCCCTCCAATCAAGAAGTTTTCTTCCCTCCCCTCTCAAGGTCTCTCTTCACATATTCTTCCACTCCCGAGGAGATCTGACGAGTGAGTCAAGATCGGAGTCTCACACAATTAGTGTATCTCCCTAGTACATTCTAGGTTCAAACACTACTAAACAAACCAACCCCCGAATTCATAGTCAAAAGATACAAAACAAACCAACCCAACAACAATCCACCCCTCGTTGCCCAAAAATTTGTTGTCAACAACCACTGAAGCCACATTTTGTTTTCATGCAAACCAAACCGACGGCCAGCATCAATGTAGAATAATGTAAAAAATAACAACAATAAAAAACCTAACCCTAAACAACACAACACCTCCAACCAAGACCACTACCAAACATACAAGGGAAAAATCAGCTGCAACCATCAACAGAAGAAATAAAGCCCCCAGTGTCACCGCAATACCACTGATAACAAGAAATAAAAACCCAAAGCAAAAAAAATCACAATAAGCTATCATCATCTTTACATCCATGCCAAATGATAAAAGAACCACAAGCAAAAAGCCAAACTCACTAAATCACTTTGTCATTCTAAGTGAAACAAGGAGGGAGGTTTCAAAGTCTAGAAGGAGGATGTAGATTGTCAAGACAATCCCCTCTGTACATTAAGATTGTCCTCAAGATCTTAGCATATGTCTGAAGTGTGGAAGAGAAACCATATGAAAATATATGTTTTGGAAAATTTCACTTAGAGAAATCAAATAGCGCTGGAATTGGAAAATCCACAAAGGGATTGGCAAAAGGAAGAGCAAAAGAAAAAGTAAGACAATAGAAGAGGGGTGGGTTGCCGCCAATCACCAAAAAGGCGAAGTCAGTGACTCTTAGTGAATACTAGAAAGAAGTGTAGAGAGATGTCAAAGCGTTTGAAAAATTTTGGAAAGTTAGAGAGAGAGAAAATATCATCCGCCATCGATTGATTTAATGTTTTCCATATAATTTGTTTATGAATTTGCTTGACTTCACTGTAAGATATTGCAATTAGACTTGTGACTATCTAAAACTTCTTTTTATTTGAAATCTGGAAAGTTTCAATCATGATTTCTGCTTATGTTCCTTTTCTCGTTGCTAACTAATTTAGTTGAACATGGATGGAGCTTCACAAGGTAATCCGGGGATGGCCACTGCAGGAGGTTCGTTGCGTGATGATGAAGGAGATTGGATCGGCGGCTTCGTTTCCAAAATTGGGGAAGCCACTGCACTTCTTGCTGAACTCTGGGGCATCCACCAGGGGTTACAGTTTACTTGGAGGAAAGGTTACAAGTTTCTGATCCTGGAAACAGACTCAACCCTCGCTATTGATCTTATTAAGAACAGAACCGATCATGTTCATCCGCATTCTACTCTCCTTCATTTGATTCGCGGATTGTTGGCTCAAGACTGGATTGTGAAGCTAGTTCATACGTATCACGAAGAGAATAGAGTCGCGGACTGGCTCTCAAAGCACAGTCTCGTCTAACCCTTCGGGACGCATGAACTAGAAGAACTACCAGATGAATTAGAGAAGATCATCAGAGAAGATCTTGTGGGGGTCAGTTTTGCTAGACGGATTGTTGCTGGATCCGCTTAGTTGTTTTTATCTTTAGTTTCTTTTGTTTTTACCCTCTGGTTTTGAGTCTTCTACCTTTGCTCTGTCCTTTCCGAGTTGGAGGCTTGTGCTTGTAAGTTCCTAGTTGTCCTCTCTCTTACTTAGATAACCCGGCTTTTGCCTCCCTAAAAAAAACTAATTTAGGACCAATGCTAATTGACCACAACGACTACTAATTTTAGCAATTTTTATCAACCAATTAATTCCTAGTAAGTATAACTGTTAGTTAATTATATTATGTAAATATAGATATATGGATGCCCATTGCTATTACCACATTAGATGCTCACTTGGGTGTTACATGTAACCCTCATTCCTACATTTGATAGCTCCTTTATGTTTCATTATCTCTCATTGATATAAGGATGTAGTGGTTACCAAAGTGTGTCTATAAATAAAGCATACCATTGTATCAAAAGAGAAGAATGAATAAGAAAGCTCGCTTCCCCCTCTCTTCTTTGTGTCTTTCCCTCTCTAATCTTCTCTTGTAGTTGTTTATATTTTCCATTAGTTTCATAACACGTTATCAGCACGAAATTTGCTAGCATCATGGTTGGTCATTGTCTCTCTACAGAATCTAGTATATTGGAGTAGGATCACAATATGATCAAGGTATGCAAATCTTCGTCTTCTTTCATATCTTATTGTCTTATTTGTGGTGAGATTATCTCGTTCCAATATATTAAGATGGATGCTACTCTTTTATCGTAGTATACCATCCATTGATATTTTATCACGTACATCTATTTGGATTAAAATTTTGGGTTGTGTAATTTGATTATATTATTATGTGTTTTACAATACATACATCGGTTCCTTAAAATTAAATTGGTGTTTAGACATTATTGCAAATTAAAATTTGCTCATGTAGTAGCAATAACAAGAAAAATAATATAAGTGATGAGTTAATTTTTCAGTTATCCGTGTTATCATGTTCTTATCAATCCCACATTGATATGTAGAAAATGCAAGTTCCAAGAACCCATATATTCCCCAGAAGTGGAAATTGAAGAATTCAAGGGCAAAGAAAGAAAAGGACATGGTAATAAGAATATTGGTTCTGTATGTTACCATTGTAATGGAAAAGTGCGTTTGTCTCGTACCCGTTGTACGCAAAAGACTTTATTCTACCAAGAATCAAAGGGAAGAGCAAATTCAAACATGCTCATGCAATATCAATATTATGGAACATATTTTTTGTATTATAAGTTGGTGTATTCTCCATTAAAGATGAAAATGATATTGCACTTGAGACATTTTCATTCCAGAAAGTGAATGAAACAATCTATTCCTCGAAGTGAATGGAACTATAAATATAATTATATATGTTAAATGTATTGTTTGGATCTTTTCACCAGAGTGAGAAAAGAGGAGAAAAAGGAGAATTATAAATAAGTATGACACAACAATTATATTATCAAAGTCATAATAACATAATGTACCTATTGTACATTGAAATGTATAATGAAAGGCATATATCATTATTTTTATCAATGTTGAAGGCATATATAAATTTAAAATTACCTAGTTAGTGATGGTATTGTTCCAAATAAAGCTTATTTAAATTTTCACAATTGTAGTATTATGATTCTTATTTTCTATTATGTTTTATTGTGCCATTATTTTCATGCATAATTTAACTTGATAACTTTTATCTAGAATGATTAACTTGATAAGTTCATAATTTCTGTCTTAAGTTTGAAATATTCTCATTTATTATTTTAGTATGTTTTTGTAAAGTATGATTGTTAGAAAAATTTCATATAAACTATATGGTAGAGTACATAAATGAGAAAAAGCTTCCGAAGAGCTTATGTTTGGTTACTTGAAGTAACTAAATTATGTACTCGTGATAATAATTTGTGATGATATTCACTATGAATATGTGTTTACTAAGAATGCATCAAATCATAAGTCTCCGGAAGGGCGAAATATGGTAAAACTCTAAAAGAGCTAATGTTTTGTGGCCTGAAGGATCCAAACTGCCTAGTGATGATGCATTACCCAATTAAAAGGATATTCGTAAAATGAGTATCTTATCAAGAACATCATATGAGAATTCAAAGAATTCTTCAAGAGTTATTATGTCATGTTTGTTCTCAAGGAAAATAGAACAATTGATCATCGCTTGTAAAAGGGTTGGCAAATCTCTTGAGATTTTATGGACGTGTATGCAGAACAATACATCAGTCATGTGGATCATTTGTGAATTTTAAGGGTTGCCGCATCAAATGGATGATCATGTGTATTTTATCTAATCGTAGCCCGATGTTTGCGAGATTGGTTGCCTCACTATGGATACATTTTGATGGTTATTCAATCAAACATCATTTTGCTTAATAGAACAAGCTGATCCTTCCAGTCTCTTGTCGAAGACATACTAGCTGGCAAGTGATAGTATTGGTTCGCATCTAACCAATAAGTTATCATAAGTTTCCCCCTTTTTACAAATGGTTTTGGTCAGAAACCTAACATTTCTCATATGAGAATATAAGGGTGTGCCGCATACATCCCAATTGCTCCACCACAGTATCTTAAGTTGATTCTCATTAGAGATTGAGAATTTGTGTTGAGGTTTAAATCCCAAATGGGAAATTTGTTTGCGAAATTATTGTTTTGATGGATTACTTTTCCAACATTAAGGGGAAGAGATAAAACAGCTAGGCAAAGAGATGAGTTGGAATGAGTTACCATTGTCTAGTTTTGATCCTCGTAGTAAGAAACATGAACCTGATTCATAAGATGAATTATCGTTACCAACTATCAAATGCCTCTACTAGCCATACGAAGTGACCAAGTCACATATACTAGCTGTGAATGCTCCAACTAAATTTGACATCCTTGTTGGATACTCTAATAAAAAAAATGTGTATGAAAAAACGCATGAAGCGTGATAGACCAATCGGTTCCAATGATAAACATCCTCGAGAAAGAAAAGGAGTTGTAATTAGAATGGTCAACTCGAGGACATGAATGTTTCAAGAAGAGTAACCAAGAATAAAATATAATTTTAGTTCCAGAAGAACACATGTCTCTTAAAGTTGTGAAAGCGAAGAGATCTCAAAACCATATTAGACTACAATACTGGAACCGTAATGAAATCATTGTCGATGAAATTTGTTTGTTGTACTTCAATACTGAATATGATATGTACAAGTGAGGATCAAGAGTAAAACTATATTGATGCATGCAAATGATTATGTTATTGGCCAATATAGAAAAAAAATCATGAAACTTGCTCAAGGAGCATAAATTTAAGGACCAGAAGTCCTTGCACCTAAAAAAGGGAAAAACTAGCGGGATACAAACAAATGTTTGTGCTATTGGGAAGTATGAAATTGTGAGAGATATAGCACAATGTTTTGCAATGGGTTTCTCGAAGAGACCTATCATTATTTGAATGGAGTTATGCTCCCTTGTGGTGGATGCAACTACTTTGTCAAATCAATGTTTAAATCTATGTTTGAAAATTGTTGTGATAGCCTATTTGTTTGAATTCCTTGAAGATGTTATATATATTTGAAAGTCCCATAAGGATTAATTACTCCCAGAAGGATTAATTTACCTGAAGTAAACAAGTAAAGTTCTCGAGAACATATAATGATAGACTAAGAATATCCCTTGTATGGGTTGAGAAAATATAGACGAATGTGAAATACTCGTCTAAGTGAACACCTACAACAGTAGGGTGAATGGACCTTAGAAGATTAAATCCGAATAGAGTGCATTAGAGCATTTGCATTGTGCATATATAGTTGTGTTGTCTGTATGTGCTTCAAGGATTTTAAAATCTTGGTTTATGAGTTGTGTTTTACTTTAAAGTATGAGTTGTGTTTTATGACTGTGCTTTGTCTAGTTCATATGTTTCTATGATGTGATTTTTGTTATTATCTTTCGTGATATAAAAGAATTGCTTGCATCAATTTGTGTTAGTTAAGTTTTTTTGGACGATCTCATATTATGTTGATGATATGACTATTATTGGAGCTCCTGAAGAGCTTTCTAAAGTAGTTGATTGCTTAGAGACATAAGTTAAATTGAAGGATTTAAGATCCTTTTTATGGGCAAGGAAGGAAATGTTGAAAAAGTGGAAAAGTAATTTTGCATGAACAAATAATGTTCATCACATAACATTAGGATCCTAAGATCACTAGAAGGGACCAAAGATCCATTTAGGCATCAAGAAAGAAGTGAAACATTAGGTCCTATAGTACTTTATGTTGATGTACTAGGTCCTGAAGTACCATATGTTGATGCATCAGAGCACCAATGCATCTTGCTACCCAAGCACCATATAGACTATCATTTTGGTGTTGATAATATTAGCAAAATACAATGTTTCCCTAAATGGAACGTTGGAAATACTTTGTTACCTTCGGGAACAATATATGCGATTGTTCTATTATGGTACTATCAAAAAGAGATTTGGTGAACTATATATCCAAATCCTGTATATTATTTGATCCTCATTTCGGTTGATCAGAGACGAGCTATCTCTTACATATGGTGATGTGATTGTTTCATAGATATCCAAAACAAACTATAGTAGGCAAGTCCTGGATGTATTTCGTTACACTTTGTGCTTCACCATATCTAAAGGACTTGTGGTTGTAAACTATTTCTAAAGGAAATGATCCTGACGATCATGTGTAAAGAAAATCTAAAGATCATGCATAAGATTGACAATCTAGAAGATTGTTCAATAACTAACTCCCGACAACAATCTTTCTAAAAGTTGTTCGTGAAATTTGAGTTCAGCGACTCAAAGATTTGAAGTGATGTGGTCATGAGGGGGATCATATACGCATTGCACTCTTTTTTCCTTAACCATGGTTTTTTCCCCACTGGGTTTTTCTGGTAAGGTTTTTAACGAGACAGTATGAGATAGCGTAATGCAATCTAGTGGTCATCCAAGGGGGAGTATTATGTAAATATTTATATATGGATGACCATTGCTATTACCACATTAGATGCTCACTTGAGAGTTACATGTAACCCCCATTCCTACATTTGATAGCTCCTTTATGTTTCATTATCTCTCATTGATATAAGGATGTAGTGGTAACCAAGGTGTGCCTATAAATAAAGCACACCATTATATCAAAAGAGAAGAATGAATAAGAAAGCTCACTTCCCCCTCTCTTCTTTGTGTCTTTCCCTCTCTAATATTCTCTTGTAGTTGTTTATATTTTCCATTAGTTTCATAACAAATTAAAAAGTGTGTGTTGTTAAAAAAAATGACAATAGCATATAATCTTATAGTACTGGTAGATTATTACTTATTAGAACATGAAAAAAAAACCATTGAATTTTTAATTATTATTAGTTTTTTAACAATAATTATTATTTCTCTTTGAATAAACGTTGAATGTTCTAATTGAAAGAAAGAAACCCGCCGCATGCCCGTGTACTGCACACACAGACACCTTTTACTGTACAACGTGACTGAGATTTACTGTTTCAAACTGGCGTGTCCTTCGGTGTGGGCTGTTGTTGGGTGAGGCCTCATTGGGATCTGGCGGGGTTTGGGGGCTCGGTCGGGGTGGGACTGGTCGTTGGCTTCTGGTTGGCCTTAGTTGCGGTCGTTTGGTGGCCCGGACGCGCGTTGGTCATCAGAGATCGGTATGTGACTTTGCCCCTGCCCGGCCACGTGGGATGGGGCCTTCAGATGTGCTCAGCAAGTCTTGCATGATGTCATTGTGTCTGTTAGGGATTCCGGCTGTTGTTCGTAGGACTGTGTTGGAGAAACTTGGCGACTGATTGGCTGCGGTTGGAGGTGCTTTGGGAATGGTGGACAACTGATTGATACCGGTTATTCACCTGAGGGACGGGGCCTTCAGATGTCCTCAGTGAGTCTTGCATGATATGATTGTGTCTGTTAGGGATTGCTAGAGGGTCGTGTTGGGTTGTTGTTCGCAGGACTATGTTGGAGAAACTTGGCGGCTGATTGGCTGGGATTGGAGGTGCTTTGGGAATGGTGGGCGGCTGATTGATACCGGTTATTCACCTGATGGCGGGAGGGTGTCAAAAAGTTCACTGTTTCAAGCACTGTGGACGTCATTCAGTGCCTCGATGCGTGCGCTCAGGTGGAGAAGGCCATTTCTCATTCTTTTTGCATGCCTCGATGCGTGCGCTCAAGTGGAGAAGGCCATTTCTCATTCTTTTTGCACAAGAGGACTCATTCTCGGAACGCATTTCCCTCTTTTTTTCTCCCCTCTTTGTTCTCTGTGGTTCAGTCGTTGTTTTCTCGCCTTTTTCCTCGCCATGGATGCTACTCTACTCTGCAATCTCAAAGGAGGTACCAGAGAGGTGACTCTGAGGCTTCGTCTGCTCCATATGTGGTATGCCAAGAATCCTTCTGGGACAAGGGTGTTTAATCACTGTTGCCTCTGGGTAGATCAGACGGTAGATTCTCTTACGCTGATTCTTTGTGATTACAGTGCTTTCTGTTTATTTTGCTCTTTTTTTTCCTTCTTTGCTCTTTCTTTACTGTCTTTTTTTTTTTTTATTCAGGGTATGCTCATTCAGAGCCTTGCTGATGTCTCTATTGGGTCTGAATTTGAGCGTG